CTGTAATAGAGTACACACATCTCAGGTCAGCAGATGCTGTGGAAGCCTCTCCCTAGTGAATTCACTAGTAGTTGCACTACTGGTGTCTTAGCTGGAGCTAAGCCAGTAGATCACGGAGCTAAGGAGGTAGACCACGCTCCGTGCCTTGGTTTTTTTCTTGAGCTTTGTGCTGAGAATCCCAGCATAGGCAATAGCGAAGGTGGGTTTTCAGGTATAAATACCTGTCCAATAGGAACATCAATGTATTTCATACAAACAATCTTACAGATGTCATAAGAATGGCCATACTGGGTCAGACCAAAGACCATTGAGTGCAGTCTTCTGACAGTGGCTAGGGCCAGGTGCTTCAGAGGGAAAGAACAGAACAGGTAACCATCAAGTGATCCATCCCCTGTCATCCCTTCCCAGTTTCTGACAAATAGTAGCAAATGGTAATGATGTTCAGTCCACAGGGTGGGATTCAAACCATGACCATGCAGATGATAAACTGTCCTTACTCCTAAAACATGAGCCCATTCACTCCCAGTGTGAGAGCAGAGAACCTTTGAAAAACTCTCACTACAACATACCGGCTTCAGGCAAAGTACATGACTTTTTTGAAATCATACCGCTTTGTTGAAATCAGATCATCTCTGCTGACAGGATATACTGAGATGAAGGAGGGTAAAATGGGCAGTGACTAGTCATACATGCTCCTGTGACTCTCTCATAACTCTTGTTAAGAAAATAAGTCTTGTTCCAGGAATCCATCTTCCAGGGTTTGATTTAGTGAGTCTAGCAAGGACCTGCTAAATCAACCACTGATGCGCGCCCATCGATCTTTCACAGTGGGGACACTGCAGAAATTCGACTTATGCTACATGAACATCAGCTACTTATTCGTGTAGCTGGAATTGCACATCTTAGGTCAACTTTCTCCGGTAGCATAGACCTGGTCTAAAACATTGCACGATATGGAAACTGTGGGAAGATGCTGACTCTTTAACAACAGTACTTTGACTGGATAAAATATCCTACAAACAATATAGTAGCTGGTATTCTTTCACTTTCATTCAGAGCGATCCCTAAGATTCACCTCACCTACTAATGAATAAAATGGATCCTACAGTAAAGCCATACAGAAATCCAGGACAGAAAGTGGACCCATTGGCCAAATAAGACTGCAAGGGAGTCTGGATAACTCCACAGTCTAGATCTCATACTATTTTTTCCCTCTTCAGAATTAAAACAAATTCAACCAACTAAACTTGCTTTGATCAGTCATGGTTTTAACAGCCTGGAAAATGAATTGAATAGAGAGATGCTTCTGGCATTCAAATTAAATCACAAAAGAGATACAATTTTGCAAGATGCAAAATATTTGGCTGTGATATTTTGTTACCATCCATTTCAAACACACTTTATAGCTGGAACCTTGCCTGAAATGTCAGGTTAGGAAGATGCAGATTACATTACAATTTATTGCCAACAGCAATATTCAGTCTTTCCTTTACAAGCACTTTCAACTTGCACATAAATTAGGGGTTGTGTTTATGAAGTATAACATATAATGGTTTATTCATTTCATGGATGGAGACATCATGGCTTTGATTACTAAAATTGGGATTTTTATGATTCATACAATAGTAAATAAATAACACTTGGGAAAAAAATTTAAGAGGATAGTGCTTGATGACAGAATACTGTATATGAAGGCACATTTTAATTCAATAGCCTACAGCAGTTATATTATATATATATATAAACAAATCAAACTCAACTGTGCATAAAACATAATTTTTTCATTTGGGCAGCTTCTCATCATTTTGTAACACCAACAACATATTGAAAGTTTGAGTCAATGATACTACCCCCGTGAATAGAATTAGTCACAGACCTACTTGTGTGTCTGCAGGAATAGTCCCTCCCTACCATTGTGTGCCATAATTACAACTATACAACACACACACACACACACACATATATAGGTTGAACCTCTCGAGTCCGGCAACATCTGTGCTCCAGCATGATTTTAATTAGCCAAATATCCACTTATCATAGGTGTGGCCAAGTTTCCCACAATCCCATAAAGTTTGTTTACAGCCATCAGTCCTGGCTCTCTGTGTTCTGTGCTGTTATTTAGCTCTAATTTATGCTTATATGTCTTCTAAGAGCTCAGTAAGCAGAGGAAGTGTTGTTAATGCTGATAGACAGTATTGACCTCCTGTGGCTTGGTAAATTCCCTGGTATGGTACTGGTCAGGTCCTCAGGGTGCTGGACTAGAGAGGTTCAATCTCTCTCTCTCTCTCTCTCTCTCTCTCAAGTCTACAAAGATTTTATTTGGTGCTGGAAAGCATAGATTTCTTCCTCAAATGAAGAACAAACAGCAAACAATTCTACTGTTACTTTAAATTTACAGAGAGGAAAGAAATATGAAGCACTTTCAAGTATAATAATAACTATCACATTTTCCCTCTGTAGCTCTCAAAGGGAGAAAAGTGTCATTATCCCCATTTTACAGGTGAGGAAACTGAGGCATGGTGAAGGGATGTGACTTGCAGGCTAGTAGCAGAGTCAGAAACAGAACCCAGTCTTCCTGAATCCCATTCCATATTCTAGCCCCCAAGTCACGTTGCCTCTCCCGAGAGACGTGGTGTGCTTTCTGGCTGTCATTACTATGTGATAATTAATAAAAATGTAGGGTAGGATTTACAAATGAACTTAAAGGACTTGGATTCCTAAGTCACGTAGGTGATTTTGAGAATTTTACCTCCATAGCATCTACTGGAGGCAGCGATGGGCAACCTAGGCTAGTGAGTGGGCAGCAAGATTGTCGTAACCAAAACGGTCTCCCGGGATGGGGTAGTTTTGCTCAGTGCGCTTGTGTGCTTAGAATTTGTGGACTGTGCCAACTGAACTGGAGCAGTGCTGTGACTGGATGCAGGGGGAGCGCACGGCTCTCACAGTCAGTGTTGTGTGCAATCAGCACACACCTCACTTCCCGTGCCCTTGCTTTAAGTGCATATCACTTCAGTAATACAGGTAGGAAAAAAATCAACAGATGGAAACCAGCAAAATCTGGCAACCCTGTGACTGGGCAACAGTGACCAAAATGCCTCGTGAGCCACACATAGAACCCCCATAGGCCACACGTGGCCTGCAAGTTGTCTACCACTGCACCAAGGCTTGTATATATGAAGTGTTAGCCTCCTTTGTAACCCTCCCCCTTGAAGCAGGTTATCAAGCTTTGTTGTATTTCTGAGCCTTGGCCACAAGAGTCATGACGTTTAGAATGAAAGCTTAGCACCAGAGCTTATTTTTTTAAAAACTGGCACAATGCTGGGAGTTAATGGAAATTATGCACGAAAATTTGACGACAAAAAATAAATTTTCAAAACACAAAGGGACTCTTCTGGAGCGGGCTGCACACACTAGTATATAGTGCATAAATAATGAAGTGAGATTCTTCATAGTAAGCACAGGAGACTAACTCTTTAGCCTTAGTGAAATTGTAAAGCACTTGTAGGATTGGTCTGGATCATTGCAGAACCAAAAATAATTGGTTGATCGACAGATATATTTTTAAGGAAGATTGAATAACGGAGGAGGAGAAGGACCTCGGAGTCCTGGTTGATTATAGAATGACTATGAGCCGCCATTGTGACATGGCCATGAAAAAGGCTAATACGGTCTTGGGATGCATTAGGCGAGGTATTTCCAGTAGGGATAAGGAGGTGTTAGTGCCATTATACAAGGCATTGGTGAGACCCCATTTGGAATACCGTGTGCAGTTCTGGTCTCCCATGTTTAAGAAGGAGGAATTCAAACTGGAACAGGTACAAAGAAGGGCCACTAGCATGATCCGAGGAATGGAAAACCTGTCTTATGAAAGGAGACTCAAGGAGCTTGGCTTGTTTACTTTAACCAAAAGAAGGCTGAGGGGGGACATGATTGCACTCTTTAAATATATTAGAGGGATAAATACCAGGGAGGGAGAGGAATTATTTAAGTTTAATACCAATGTGGACACAAGAACAAATGGATATAAGCTGGCTAGTAGGAAGTTTAAACTTGAGATTAGATGAAGGTTTCTAACCATTAGAGGAGTGAGGCTCTGGAACGGCCTTCCAAGGGAAGTAGTGGGGGCAAAAGATCTATCTGGTTTCAAGATTAAACTAGATGGGTTTATGAAGGGGATGGTTTGATGAGATAACATGATCTTGGTAACTAATTGACCATTCATTATCAGTGGGAAATAAGTCAATGGAGGGATGATAGGAGGTACTATAGAGAACTTTCTGGGTGTCTGGCTGATGAGTCTTGCCCACATGCTCAGGGTTTAGCTGATTGCCATATTTGGGGTCGGGAAGGAATTTTCCTCCAGGGTGGATTGGCAGAGGCCCTGGAGGTTTTCCGCCTTCCTCTGTAGCATGGGATACAGATCACAGCTGGAGTATTCTTTCCTCCAGGGTAGATTGGCAGAGGCCCTGGAGGTTTTTCGCCTTCCTCTGTAGCATGGGGTACAGATCACAGCTGGAGGATTCTCTGCATCTTGGGGTCTTCAGGCTTCAATATCTGAGATCTAGGTGAGAGGATTATTCTAGGAGGGGTGGGTGAGATTTTGTGGCCTGCACTGTGCAGGGGGTCAGACTAGATGATCATAATGGTCCCTTCTGACCTTAAAGTCTATGAGTCTATGAGTCTATGAATAAAACATTCATAGATCCAAGAACGAATTCCAAGGAGGAAGGAAATTATCACCTATCAAATATGCTGTTTAATTTCTCTCTCGCTTACAGAAATTGCAATTTATATACACTCACGAGACATTGTTTTCAGCAAGGAAAACAAAAATCAATAACTGGTTTCAATTAACAGTCTTCTCATTGAGTATTTGGCTGCTATTTAACGAAACACAGGTGGCGCTTCTAGAAGCAGCACCCGAATCATTATGCCAAGTCAGTCGTTACAATAGCATGTTAACACTTATAATAAAAAAGAAAAACCACAGCGAAACTAACCTTTTCTTGTACAAAATCCAAAATGTTCTTGAAATCCAGGTCATCATAATAGTGCCTAATCCCCTCTTGGATGTTGGAATGAAAAACTGCATTCATCTGGGGAAACAAAAGAAAAAACCAGCATGATGCCAAAGTGAAACAGCTGCTGCAAAAAAATACCAAGAACAGTAGACCAGCACAACACTACCGAGAAGATGCCTTTCCACAGACCTCCATCATCTTTCTAGATCCCCAACCGAGGGTTAGGCCTTGCAGTGATTTTGAGTCTCACGGGCCGTGGTGTTTATTTATAAACGTGCCAGCAGCGAAAAGTGGGTGCTCACATGAGAATAGCAATGTTCATTTAAAAAACAAAGAACACTCTTAGATTCTAGGTGGTGACATTCATTGTCTGATATCTCTTGTTTAAGCCATCGAGCTGAGTGATTCCACTGCATACAGACATCTAGCTCCCTCCCATTAGGGTTGAACAGAAAAGACCTGTCACTGTCGCAGTCACTGCTATCAAAATACACTTCTGTCTCAACCAAGCAAAAAACAACCATCACATGTCTGCCAACTGCATGCAGATTTGTGACTATCGACTCCCAGATATCAATGCTCCTCTCTTCCATGCCACTCATCTGTTGCCACAGAACTTTGTGCAGGTTTGAACCTTTTGGATTCAAATTACCAACAAAGTTATGATTATACAATTGTATATAAATCCTAAAGATACCCATGCACAAGTTATAGCTGAAGTCATCCTCACATACTCCTAGATAGTCTTAAGGTATGATGGGTTCTTCACAAATTGATCAGCAATAGAGAGATGATTCCAGCTGGAGTTTTCTCAGCCACTGAAGGTGCTAACAGCTCTCTAAGTGGTATCCCTCCTGTTTTAGGAATGTATCTATTGACTTTGATTTTTATCTACTTAGGTTTAAATACCCATTCTCCAGATACTTAATGATGCTCTGTCTCCCACCCCCTTCCCTTTTTCTTTCTCTCCCCCTTCCCCTTCCCTCTCCTATTTATTTTGAGTTTTCATATCCCCAACTCATAACTCTGGTCATCTGAATAAGTGGGCAGTGCCCACGAAAGCTCATGATACCGTCTACATGTTTTGTTTGTCTATAAAGTGCTACCAGACCATTTGTTGTTTTTTTCTGTAACAGACTAACTCGGCTACCCCCTGAATCTGATTTTTCCCAGGAACTCTCTTATATCATGTGGTTTTGCCTATGCCTACTACCATGAACACATGAATGAAAGAGTCAATTCTCTTTTTCTTTACCTGTATTGAGCCCTTCTCTCCCAAGCAGATTGAACCCCTTTTCCCCAACTATTTTTCATGGATTGCTTATAATTCCTTTTATTCTTATTAGTGTTTATGCCCATTGTGAACCCTTTGGTTTGGGCATGTTTTGGAAAAAATATGACTACCAAGTATCTTATAATAAAAATAATAATCTAAACTAAGTAATCTTGTTGCAACAGGTTATTTTTTGGTCACTTACTTATGTCAAGTGCAGGACAATGTAGCACTTTAAATACTAACAAGATGGTTTATTAGATGATGAGCTTTCGTGGGCCAGACCCACTTCCTCAGATCAAATAGTGGAAGAAAGTAGTCACAACCATATATACCAAAGGATACAATTTAAAAAAATGAACACATATGAAAAGGACAATATGTTCATTTTTTTTTTAATTGTATCCTTTGGTATATATGGTTGTGACTATTTTCTTCCACTATTTGATCTGAGGAAGTGGGTCTGGCCCACGAAAGCTCATCATCTAATAAACCATCTTGTTAGTCTTTAAAGTGCTACATAGTCCTGTATTTTGTTTCAGCTACACCAGACTAACACGGCTACATTTCTATCACTTTAAAGTGCTACACAGTCCTGTTTTTTGCTTCACTCTTAGTTTTTGTGATTGTGAGTAAAAACTTGACAATCTGAGTCCTAAGGACTGAAACAGCAGAAGGCAAATAAGAATCCCATTTATTGTTTAAAGCTTCATGATTTTGGGGGAGCTGACTCTTGACTTTTCAGTCTCCTAGAATTCTAGGGCTGGAAGAGACCTGAGGAGGTCATCGAGTCCAACCCCCTGCCCAAGGCAGGACCAACCCCAACTCAATCATCCCAGCCAGGGCTTTGTCAAGCCGGGACTTCAAAACCTCTAGGAATGGAGATTCCACCCGCTCCCTAGGGAACCCATCCCAGTGCTTCACCACCCTCCCAGGAAATAGTTTATCTTAATATCCAACCTAGATCTCCCACACCTCAACTTGAGACCATTGCTCCTCATTCTGTCATCTGCCACTACTCTCTCCATCCTCTTTGGAACCCCCTTTCAGGAAGCTGAAAGCTGCTATCAAATCCCCCCTCACTCTTCTCTTCTGCAGACTAAATAAGCCCAAATCCCTCCGCCTCTCCTCATAAGTCTTGTGCTTCAGCCCCCGAATCATTTTTGCTGCTCTCCACTGGACTATCTGCAGTGCGGCCACATCCTTTCTGTAATGGGGGGGACCCAAAATTGGACTCCAGATGTGGCCTCACCAGTGTGGAATAAAGGGGAAAGCCAGGCCTGGGGAATGATTGGTGGGATTTTGAAATTATTTTGGCGTTCATGTTATCAGAATAAGCCCAGTCCCCAAGAAGGGTGTGTTGATTAGCTGAGCAAAGGGGCGCAGGCACATGTAAAAAGGGACTAAAAGGGGAAATAAAAAACCTGGCAGTCTCCAGCTGCAAGGGGACACATGAGTGATGGCCAATTGTTTACAGACATCTGTTCCACTTGTTTTCATTGGAAGCTGCACTTGGGTAATGGACAAGGTTGCCAAATCTGGTTGGATGTATTCCTGGAGGTTTCATTACATGACCTAATCTTCCAATGTATTTTAGAAGCGTACGTCTGTCGGCCTGTCTGTCTGTCCATCTGTGAGTCTGTGCTTCCCACCTGGCCCTAAGCTACTGTGATAAGAGGGGGCTGGGGTTGTCCTCTCTCCCCAGGACAGCCTGCACCCAACCCCTCATCCCCAGCCCAGAGCAATTATTTAAATCAGTGTTTCTCAGCCGTTTTTTTTTAAAAGCACCCCTTTACAAAAATTATAAGTACCCCCAGTATCTGGTTTTCAGACACAAGTTTTTTCTACCATTACAACACATTTGTTTAAAGAACTTAATCGTAGCCAGGCAGGCAATCAAATATGTGGGTGTAAAAAGTACAAAAATAATAAAGCGCCGTAAAGCTTAAAACGAAAATTCAGTTTTCTCCAAATTTCAGTTGTTGACGTACCTCCCAGACTTCTCTCGAGTACCCCTAAGGGTACTCGTACCACTGGTTGAGAAACACTGATTTAAATGAAACATGGACATTTTCATTTTTTCCCCCAGAATCAAAAATGCCTTGCGTTAAAGACCCAACAAATGCTAAGTACATCTAGTCGACTGTATGTTTGAGAAAGTTTGTCTGTCTGTTTTCCCAAAAACTGCTCCTAAATGGTAAGAGCTAAAACCACTACATCTGGTAGGCAGCTTCCTCTTATCATAAATTAAAGCAAGATCAGGGTTTGGTGGTGCCAGGAAAATGGGATGTGCCTGGAATGGGATTACAGCTCAGAAAATCGTACAGAAAAGAGAGAATCACCAGCCAGGTGAAAGGGGCTGGCTGAGGGACCCTTGTCTGGGACTGAGTCAGACCCAAGCCTCCTACCCCTTGAAATGTCCTTTAGGGAAGATAAGGAGGGGGCTGAAACTCCACTTCTTCCTCCCCCCAGTTCATACAGGAGCATTGCTGGCTGTAGGCTGAAACTCCACTCCTTCCTCCCCCCAGTTCATACAGAAGCATTGCTGGCTGTTCCCCTTCATCAGGGAGTGAGGGGAAAGTGCACAGTTTGCTGCATTCTTCACTCTGAGGGAGCACAGAGGGCAGATGAACCTGGACCTGTCCGAGCTGGGGACATGTGCCCCTGCCCTGCCTGCTGCAGTTGCAGCGGCCATGGAGAGGCAATTCTCACGTGGCCAGAAGCTCCTGCAGTGAGAGGTAGTCCTCTCTCCCCAGAACAGCTCTGAGGTAAAACCCAGGCAGGGGGATGGACTGGTGCCATTTTGAAATTACTTTGGTGTTATCTGAATCAGCACACACACCACAATTTTGTTTTAAAACACAAAAATGAATGGAGTTAAGGATCCAAGCAATGCCAGGTAAATCTTCTAATGGGCTTAGTGCAGGAGCCACTACCCTGGGCCCCGCGAAATGGTCATCTGCCCCTGGCTCCCTTGTTCTTATCTCTCCTTGTAACTGGTCTACGTGCCACTCCATGGGACAGTGACCCACACTAGGTGTGTAGTTTACACAAGCACATGATCTCCAGTAAATAAACGCATCTTAATCCACCTGCCCGCCATTCTCAGCGTGTCGCGTGCAGATAGCTGTCCAGGTACCCAGCAGCACCTTAGATTGTGTCAGTTGAGCAGTGGTTCCCAAACTTTTCGGCATCATGCCCCCTTTTTTATTTTTGAGAAACCCTCCCCCCCAAAAAAATCAGCAAAATTTGCTGGGGGAAAAAAAGGAACTGACTGGGACAGCAAAACTTGATGGGGGCGGGGGCTGGGTTGCCTCATGCCCCCCCCCTAGAATTTCTTCACCGCCCAAGGGGGCAAGCCCCCAGTTTGGGAACCCATGCTGTAGAGAAATCCTGCCTGAAAACGGGATTCATTAAGGTTAGCTGAAATACATTGGGATTCAGTCCTTCAAAAACAGGGCAAGGCAGCACTGAGGTTTGTCGCACTGCTGTTGGCTACAATTATGATTGTTGCGTTGGAATTGATTCTTTCCCTCTGGTTTTGTTTATTTACTATTCACAGGTTTGCTTTTGGTGAACAAATGCTGTGTTGCTGACAATTCCAGAGATCTAAGTATTCTCTCCATAGAGTCCTTTGTACATTTAATTCGCTCTCTGCTGAACATTTCTCATCCAATTAGGAACATTGTTCTCTGACTGCATCACATAAAAGCTTGTGTTGCAACACAATGGCTAATTGCATAAAGAGAGGTTCTGGGACCTATTCTCAGCAGTGGCTCAGAGTTTCTTTAGCTCATAGAGT